ATATCCGGAGGTCCAGAGTGACGGCAAACATCACTGGCAGAGCCCTGAAACAGAGGGCAGTGATGGTGCGTTCAAAGGCAGCACGTTAGAATCAGCTTCAGTCTGCTACTTTGAAACTGAACTCACCAGTTCTCCTCTTTGTGGGACTGAAAGGCCTTCAAGAAGGACGTGAGGAGTCAAGGAGCTGATCAGACTGATTAGTGATTATTTACTGAAGGTCAGATTGTGTGATTAAGAGACCAAAAAGTCACTTTATGAAGGATATTGAACAACGAGCGTCTGGAACTTGTAGGCTTCAACAAAGTCATGGTTGGCTACAGCGTAGGTACACCTGAAACACACACACAGCCATTTTCTTTCACCTTTATGTCCTCACAACACCACTAAAGCATCACCGTCTGATCCGACGGTCCCACCTGAGGTGAGCTGCGACCATCTCATCGTACGGCGGCTCCAGAACCTGCTGACACTTATCCTCTGGACTCGCCAGCTGTAACACACACACACACACACACACACACACACACACACACACACACACACACACACACACACACACACACAGGTGAGGCTGTGTCCTAGCAACATTCAGAGTTTATGCGAGGCAGCAGTGGCTAACCTGGAGACGGGGGTTGGCAACATGCGGGTGTTTGAAGGACAGCAGCTCAGCACAGAAGGAGCCCTCGCGGTTGTCGATGGCCTCGTAAACCTTCAGGAGGAAAATGAGACAGATTCCAACCAAATTACATAAAAAATGTACATTTCAGACACACTTAAAGGTCAGAGGTTACCTGCTGCAGGTACTGGTTGATGGTGATGTGAGCCATGAAGGCCTGCTGACCCAGCAGCTGTCTGGACCTGAAGAGAAAAACCAGTTTAACTTCACTTCAGTTTTCCTGTTACTCGTGTATTCATGTTATGAAACAAACAAACGTGATGATCTCAAAGCTCCAGCACAAAAGAAACATTATTGCTGCACAGTTTGGCTGCTTGAAGGGTGAACCTCAACTTCAGCACAGTAAGAGTCACCACAGCAGATCATCGTCCTTTGTCGCACCAGCCCTCTGCATCCTCCTTCACTACATCCAAGACTCTCCTCTGAGGTCTTCCTCTTCTTCATATTCAACAATCTTTCCTAATATATTCCCATCATGATTGACCTCTGGCGCTCCTTGTATCCTTTCCACTTATTCACTTGCACACACATTGTATCTAACTTCCTTCTCTCAGATCTCTCCCTTTACCTGCACTAATCTGTTATGAGAATCTCATTCCTTATTATCTTTATGATGTTTGCTGGTCAAGATTTTTACTCCTAGTGCCTGGGACCAGCACTAGTGACTTGAATTACTTTGTTTGCATTAATGTAAATCAGGAATAATTCAGTTTTATTTTTTTCTGTAGAATCGTTTGATAAATAAACGCAAGCATTATTTTTTTTTTATATTTTTATAAATATTGTTTGATTTATTTATTTTATAACACGTGTTTTACGTTCAGGTGGGTCTAAATCAGTTTAAATATAGAGCACATAAGAATATTCAATTACATTTTCAATTCAATTCAATTTTGTTTATATAGCGCCAAATCACAACAACACTCGCCTTGATTTGTGACCATTATATGGTCACTTTTTTCTTTTACTTCATATTAGCTTATGATAACTCCTCTTTACAACCTGCATCCACAAACACTCTTAAATTTAATATCGGAGGCTGATTTTTATATTTAAAAAAGAAAAATGAAGACACAGAAACAGAAAGTCTACGATCTTATTTTATTAAGATCTTAATAAATTAAATAAAAGCGGATTTCTCGCCGGGTTTCTCTGTGAAACTGACTCCAACCAGGCAGCAGCTCTCTTTTCGCTTTAATTCCTTCGTTTCCGGTTAAAATCCTACGTTTAATCGCAGTTTCCGGTTGATAACAGACAACAAGTAACAACACAAACATAAAAACGAACAACAGACAACTACCTACCTTCAAAACAAAAATTTAATCTGAAAATAAGTCCCAAATCCACTATTTGCGTCCATTCAACTGATGCACACCACAACAACGTCCGGGTCTTTGGGGAGGGGGGTCATACTTCCGCTACATTTCCACAATAAGAGGCTATAATTCAAAATAAAAGCATTACACTATACCAGCTATCACGACGAATGGTCAAAAACAACTAAATATATGTTTTTTTTACATATATTTTATCTAAATATATGTTTTTACATATATTTTGACATGCATTTTACAAACATTTTGATATGAACACACTCTCTCTTAAGTCTTTATTGACACACAGCTGAATCACAACCTCTCTCTTTCTGCAGCAGAAAACAAACAAAAAGCAACAACGAGAGCAGAACAATTATTTGGTGTTTTTGCTGACTACATGTTTTAATTTAATTAATTTAATCTTCAAATTATCTTTTGTTTCTGCTTAGCAGCAATAGATCCGGAGAAACAACAATGAGAAAGCAACATCATCAACAACAAAGACATGAATCTTTTACCTCTGACTCCAGAGGGCACCATAACACCACAGAGTTTGCAAGACCTAACATTGATTTGATTTATTTTAACACTTTGATTCAGCAAATGATAATGTTGATTTACATGTGACTTGATGAGCAAGTGGCAACCACTAAAAGTCCCTGCTAGAGACCTTTAATATCTGCAAGAAAAGGGAGCCAAATTTACTGTCAGGTAAAGGGGAATAATTTTAATTCCATTCTCTATATTATATACTGCAACTCTTCAAAAGTCCTAAATAATGCTCCAGCTCTTTAAGGCTCTTCTCCATATGAAAGCTCACTTCTGTTTGATTTCCCAAAATCTGGAAGAGAGCTGAGGGGCAACACCTAGATCCTGTGAGCTGTGATGTTGGAAACAGAAAATTCAGAGCAGTGTACATAATTTAACATTATTAACTCTGGACAGGTTTAAATGAACATCTGAGATGGTAACATCAAATATATGACGATATATCATAGCAAATTATGAATCTATTATGTTTCTAAATGTAGCTCATCAAGGCCCTCCTCCCTAAAAATCTGACTGGCCAACATCTCAAAGCCAGCACTGAAAGCCTATGAGCCGTGATGCTGGAGACAGAGAATTCAGAGCAGTGTGAAGTCTCAAAAGAAATACTTTTACATAAGTTTGCTTCATTATTTTTAACTTTAGATAGGTTTAATATGAATATCTGACACTGTGACATTAAATACATGACAACAAATCATGAAAAGCATAATACATCTCATTTAAAGTCTTGATTTGCTTTTGAAAATAAACCACATTTATCTTATACTTATCTTATTCAGCCCATCAGTTCACTTTTGATTGGCGAACTTCTGGAAGCCTGCAGAAAATTTGAAATTTCATAAATTATAAATTGAGTATAAAGAGGAATCTGAAGCCCAGGCTGTTGGCTAACATTAGATTTACATATGTCCATCTCACTGTTTTACATTTTTATTACCAATAAATATGGGGGGGGGG